TCGGCCATGGGTGTTGGGCCTCCTTGTGGCTGATGTGTTGCAGCCTAGGGGGTGTGTTAGAATTAGGCTGTCAACACTTTGTGTACTATATTCTATATCGCGTAGGTTATTTGTGGGTTGGGTGTAGTTTGTGATCCCAACCCTATCTGGTTGGGATTCCCTCGTAATCCTGCAAATTTGCCAACTCACGAATTGGAGATTTGCTAGGATTCCCATCCCATCCTTTCCCTAGCCTTGCCCATCCCAACCTCGTTTGTACTTAAGGCCTAGTGCCTTCTTTCTTAATCAATCATTTCAGTTCCAATTCCGTCAATGTTCAGTTTAGGAAACAAACCCAGATTGAACCTAACCTGAAGTGAAGTCAGGACTAAAGCTGGCCAAAACATGATGTATGGTATGGCCAGTATTGATTACAGATCAGAAACTTGTATGCATGTTCCTCCATTGCAACTCTCTCTGTATGAAATCTGTGTGGATAAAGGTGAATTTTGATTTGAGGGACCTGAAAAAACAGAAACTAGCATGCAAGCTCCTCTATCACAACAACTCGCTCTGAGACGAAACGAGTTGTGAGGCGCCTTAAACCAAGCTGCACCCCTCTGTACCCCTCTCTGTCCCTTCATCTATCTCTGCAGGTTCCTGCATCACAACTCGCTCACAGGCTCGCTCCCTCTCCCGCTCTCAGAGCTCACCTCCCTCTTCTCCGTGTAACCGCCCTTTTCCCTGTGACTGCCCGTCTCCTTGTAACTGCCCTTCCCTTCTCTCCCTGCGACCGCCCTTCTCCTTTCCCGTACATTTTGTTCTTTTAGTTTTCTTAACACAAATTGCGTCGCCAGCTCTCTGAGCTCACATCCCTCTTCTCCCTGTAACCTCCCGCCCACTCTCTGTTAACAATCTTCTCTTATATTTCTCTTAAAGCGAATTGGCTCGCTGCGTCGCCTGCTCTCTGACCTCACCTCATGTTTTTTGAGAATTCTAAAAAAACATACGAATCGGCTTGCTGCATTGCCTGCTCTCTGACCTCAGAGAAGCTTGTTAACAGAGAGTGGGCGGGAGGTTAACAATCTCCTGACCGCCCACTCCCTTTAAGCGAATCGGCTCGCTGCGTCGCCTGCTCTCTGATCTGACCTCACCTCCCTCTTCTCCCTGACTGCCCTTCTCCTTTCCCTCGTTTATTTTATTCTATTCTTATTTCTATCTGCTACACGGCTTCTCTCTCTCTCCCTCTCTCTCTCTCCCTCTCTCTCTCTCTCTCTCTCTCCCTCTCTCTCTCTCTCTCTCTCTCTCTCTCTCTCTCTCTCTCTCTCTCTCTCTCTCTCTCTCTCTCTCTCTCTCTCTCTCTAATGGTCCGTTGTATTAATTCAGCAGGGGTACAGGCATGCAGTTCTATCCATGATAACCTCAATCCCATAAGCCCATCAACTCACCCCTCTTCCCCTCCCCTCCCCCCTGAGTGACCCTCTAGCCCTCCAGCGTGTGTAGGATATCCCCCAGGTGCAGCGGCCAGGGGTCCGCTGCCATCTGGGGGTGTGCTGCCTCAATCCCAGCCCTCTCTCTCAAACGGTCCTTTGTATTGATTCAGCAGGGATACAAAAACATGCAGTGCAATCCATTATAACCTCCTTCCCTTAAGCCCCTTAGCTCACCCCTCTTCCCCCCCCCCCCCCCCCCCTGCGTGACCCTCTAGCCCTCCAGCGTGTGGAGGATGTCCCCTCAGGTGCAGTGGCCAGGGGTCCGCTGCCATCTGGGGGTGCGCTGCCTCGATCCCAGCCCTGGCCTTGGTGTGCAGGGCATTCGCTTAGGAGCGCTGGAGGGCCACTGACCAGCGTTGGCTGAAGTGGCAGGCCATCTTCTTGGCCAATTTGGCCAAGGGGTTGGCCCTGAACCTGTTCTTAGCCGCTGCTGTGGCTAGCAGCTTAAGGAACGCTGTCGTGGGGGCTGCGTTTGCCCCGTATGTCTCGACGGCCAGGGCGCAGAACACCACGTGTTCGGTGTGCCTGTAGTAGTCCCTCTCCTTTTGCCTTTGTGCCTCCCTCGCAGCCCAGCCTGGGGGTTTGCGGGCTGTGGGGTCCCGGTTCGGTAGCACAGGGTCGGTGATAGTCGTGTCTGTGATCCAGGTCTCTCCACTGTCTGGGTCACGCACGATCACATCGGCCTTCTTCGGGTCATCCGGTGGTGAGTACATTGCATTCTCCAGGTATACCACCAGCTGCGCCTCCCTCGCCATTTTTGCCACGGCAAAGGCCAGCTGATTGTGTGTGCGCGTTCTGTCCGGGCCTGTGCTGCAGCGGAGTAGGTGGTTGGGTAGGCTGCAGTCGGCCACGAGCTCTCCACACTCGCACACGGTAGGTACGTTCTGTCGGATGCCCATGCGGAAGGCCAGGGCTGTTCGGAATTGCCCTGGTGAGAAGCAGAGGTCTGGGGTCAGGGGTAGGGCTTGCAGCCATGCTCCTGCTCCCTCGCCTCTCAGGCTGACGAGGCGGAGCGTGTGGCCCATCTCGGGAGCTGACCTGATTGAGCGTGATTCCTCTGTCAGGGTGTCGGCCTTTGCCGCGTGCACTTCCTGAGAGAGGGCCCGCTGCAGCTGGTCTTGGGACGGGGTCTCTTGCTCCTCACGGAGGTATTGCAGCGCCAACGGCGGCAGTCGTTCCTCCATATCTTGGATGGTGACCGAGTGTGACGCAGACGGCTGCAGGGCATTGCTGTTGCTCCCTAGCGCCGCGGTTGCTAGCAGGTCGAGTGAGCGGAGCAGGCGTAGTGCCTCTGTCGTTGAGGCCAGGTAGGCTGGTGTTGCTTCTGTTGTGGGATCCGTGAGGCCCAGTCCACCTAGGGCCACTGGGAGGGTTGCTTGGCAGATGAGAAAATTGAACTCGGCTTCGCGGCGGGGTGGTTGGATGCTGGCGGCAGTCAGGGCGGTGTTGAGCAGTTCGGCGCACCACGCATGCCATTCCGAGAGGGGAAGGACATCCGCTGGGGTGGTGCGCAGCAAGTAGCCGATTCTGCGGCTGATGCAGCGGGACAGGAGCAGGAGGGCATGCTGTGGATGGATGGATGCTAGGGAGCCCAAGGGTGCCGCCGCGTCTGTCAGAGTACTACGGACCACGCCAGCGCAGAAGCGCTGTGACCCCACGGGACTTCCCAACACCCGTACCCCCTCGTTGGTGAGTGGGAGGCCCTCGGGGAGCTCGTCACCCTCAAGCGGCGTCGTGGACCACGCCGACGATTTTCTGAGGTTGCAGGTGAGGCCATCCTGGGCGAGCAGCGGCGTCAGTAACTTAAGCGCGCCGAGCGTTGCTGTCGCCGGTCCGATCATGGTGATGTCATCTGCGTATGCTAGGATCGTGACTTTTGGGTGCTCTGCTGCTGTGCGTCTGAGGTGCTGCTGGATTGATGCCGCGAACAGCAGGGGTCCGAGGGGGTCCCCCTGCCTCACCCCTCTTCCGCTGGTAAGTGCCGTCGTGCTCAAGCGGGGATCGGTCAGCAGCTGAGAAGGCGTTGCGAAGAAGGAGCGGGTGAAAGGTATGAGCGGTGCTAGCGGGGTGTTGGTGAGTGCGTTGAAGAACGCTTTCCTCTCTACAGAGTTGAAAGCGTTTTCAATGTCGAGTTGGAGGACTAGGCTGGAAGGTTGTGAAGTGGTGAGGTCTCTGACTGCATGTATAACGAACTCAGCTCCGCCTGGGACTGCCACACCGAATTGTTGGGGTAAGAAAAATCGCCTTGTTTCTCCCTGCAGTTCCGAGAGTGCCACCTTTGCTGCCAACCGGAGTAGGGATTCCCCTATTGCGATAGGGCGTACCCCCCCCCCCCTGGTTTCGCGAAGGCGATGAGGCGGGATGGCGAGAGTAGTGTTGCAACCTCGGTGGAAAGATTCGTGGAGAGAAGATGTGTTACGGCGGAGTGTAGGTGCCCCAGCACTTCGATGTTGCTTAGGGCTGGGTCGCGGTAGTGTTCAAATGTTGACCCGAATGGACCAGCCCCAACTCCGCTGGGGCAATCCCCAAGGACGTCTGAGAAACTTTCCGCGGTGCACGAAAATTGCGTGGGTGTTGTGTAGGTGTGGACCCAGTCGGGCAGCTCAACTTGGGGTTGGGGATGTTTCAATTCCAACTGCTGCAATGTTGCGATCGTCGCAGGGGCCGCTGGCGAGGGTGAAAGGGCTGCCAACGCTTTTCGCAGGTTACCTCGTTTCACCAGCCCCTCCACACGTGAGCAGATTCCCAGGGGGTCGTTTTGGTGCTGAGGTGGCTCAGCTTGGTGCAGGGACCCCACGTAGTCACTGTAGAGTTGGTTCCAGTGGCCACATCTGAATAGGTGCATCTGCTCTCGCAGCACCTTCCACTTAGAGCTGGACCTCCTGCTAAGTCGTAAGGTGAGACGTGGCAGGAACATGAGGACCCGCCACGCTCCCGCGCAGTTGGGCAGTTTGGAGATCCGTAAGAGGGCGGCCAGCATACAGGTGGAGTAGTCGCTTAGTATCTGCGACGGCAGGCGGCGGACGATAGGCAGGTGGGTGGTTGACGTTAGGGTTGAAGAGTCCCAGCTCGTCGCGATCTCAAAGAGATCCTCCCTCGATGCCAGCTGGGACGCTGACAAGGCTTGGTCCGGAGGGGGTTGGGGTCTGCGGTTCTGTCGGCGTCTAGAATCCCTCTCCTGCTGCTGCGCCTGGTCCTCCCCCGCTTCCGCGAGAGGTGAGTCGGGGTTGTCGGGTTGCCTCAGATCTGACGGTACATATTCGTCGCTGCTCCCTTCTGCGTTTGTATCACCGATTCTCATTGCTTGCGCTGTCGTTCCCCTTCTCCCCCTGCGTCTAGCAAACGACTGGCGCGTGACTCGTTCCGCCGGCTCCCCCAACCAGATTGGGCTCGGTAGTTGGCGCGGATTCCCCCTCGCCGCTTGGCCTGCACTCCTCTGTCCTCCGCGCGCTCCTCGACCCCCGCCTCTCCCCCGCGTGCTTCCCCGTCTCTCCTCGGAGTGGCTGCCACAGGTGCCGCCTGTTGCGCCTAGGAGATCGGCGTCGTCGGCTCCTCTTGTGGCAGTGGAGCGCCCTGAGCGCTCGCTGATGGATTTCCTCGGCGCTCTGGGCCGCGACTGCCCCACGGAGAGCGATCCCGCTCCCCGTCCGCGTCCTCCTGCACGCCCTGCCGCGAGCGTACCTGTTGCTCCACCGGCGTCCGCTGATCAGATCCGCCGCCGCTTCGAGGACCAGCAGCGCGAGCTGGTTCGGCGCGCGGGCAGGTCCTTGTCACCGCCGGAGCCCCTGCGCGCGGGGTCCGTCTTGCGCTACGGCGCAGAGGCTGTGGTGCACCAGGAGCGTTCGCCTCGCCGTCGCTCGTCGGCAGCTCGCGACGATAAGCGGGAGAGCCGCCGCGATGATCGTCACGGTGCGGCCCGTTCGCCGCTGTCTCCTCGTTCGCCTCGTCGCGTGGCGTCGCGAAGCCGATCCCGTGACCGCCGTTTGCATCGTCATCGTTCGCCCCCTCCTCGTTCATCTCGCCAGCGGTCGCGTGCCCGCCAGACGTCTGGGCGTCGGCCCCCAGCTCCGTGTTCGCCCCCTCCTGCAAAGCGCCAGCGGCTCTACTCCCCTCGTCGCGGGGACCGTTTTCCTGGCCGCCAGCGTCAGCAGGGCCTATCTCGCCCGCAGTCGCCTGTGCGCTCGAGCGCAAGTGGGCGTGCGCGTCGTGGGCGACGGGGAGGTGACAGTCACGGCGGAAAAGCGGGTCCAGCGCCGTCCGCAATGGAGCGCCGTCGTCTGGATAGGCTTGATGACGTGGAGAAGGAGCTTCGTCGCTCGCGTGCTGGGTCGGCGTCACCATCAGCTCCTCGCGCTGCTCCCGTCGTCCCTCTCTCCGCGCTCCTGCCCCACAATCCCTTTGGATCCCCGGCGCGTTCAGAGCGACCGTTGCCTGCGGGGACGGGCTTCGTAGGTGCTGGTGGCGGGCCGCCGTGGGCTCAGTTTGCTCCGCCGCGTCCTCTTCCTGCTCCGCGTGATCTCGCCGTGTCGTCTCACCGTGCCCGCGCGTATGCGTTGCGCCGATGAAGGAAGTTCCCACGGCGACCCTGGCCCGCCTAGGGATGAGCAATATGACGAACTCCTGTTCGGTCCGCCTCGAACACGTTCGAGGCAAACCGAACAGGATTTTTTTTTTGGCCTAAATTGTTCGGGGCGAACGTGTTCGGTGTTCGCCCGAACACGTTCGCCGTTCGCCCGGCTCAGCTCGCCGAGGCGCGTCGAACACGAACGTGTTCGTGTTCGACACGGGCCTTCGACAAACACCAAAGTGTTCGTCGACGAATAGGCCCGCGACCAATTTTTAGGTCGCGGGCCTTGGTGTTTGGGCTCAGATCTGGCCTTTCGCAGTTAGTAAAGTGCAGATCTAGCATTTCGCCATTGCTTAAGTGCAGATCGAGCATTTCGCCGTTGCTTAAGTGCGGATCGAGCATTTCGCCGTTGTTTAAGTGCGGATCGAGCATTTCGCCGTTGCTTAAGTGCGGATCGAGCATTTCACCGTTGCTTAAGTGCGGATCTAGCATTTTGCCGTTGCTTAAGTGCGGATCGAGCATTTCGCCGTTGCTTAAGTGCAGATCTAGCATTTCGCCGTTGCTTAAGTGCGGATCTAGCATTTCGCCGCTGCTTAAGTGCGGATCTAGCATTTCGCCGTTGCACGCTGGCACTAGACGGATGAAGCAGGGCGGGACTGGCTTGGGAGGTGGGGGGAGAGAATGTGCGACGATTTGAATATGCTCTATATTGAATTTCCCCCTGGGCGAACACGAACATGTTCGCCACGAACATGTTCGCCACGAACATGTTCGTGTTCGCCTGTTGCAGCAATTCGTTCGCCTCCTAGGGCGAACGGCGAACACCTATTTTCACTCAAGTCGTTCGCCGAACCGAACACTGTTCGGTTCGGCAGAAGGCCATGTTCGTCAGGGGGCGAACACGAACATGTTCGAGTTCGCCCCCTGCTCATGCCTAGGCCCGCCTATGGTCGCTGGCGGCGTCCCTGCAGAGCCTTGAGCGGATTCTCCAGGAGTCATTTGACTCCATGCCGGTGAGCCCTCCGAGCAGGTTCTCTCAGAAACCGCGAGCAGATTGTCATGCGGCGGCGTCAGCGCTATTCGCGCTCGTAACGCCACTGCAGGTAGCGCCCTCGCCGGGAGCAACCTCGGCCAGCCAGCTGGCTGACTCGGCCCTGGCTCTGAGGACGCTTGTAGCAGGCCCTGGTACTCCTGTTGACGTTGTAGGCGCCACCGTGTCTGTGGTCCGCCAGTTGTGGTTGAACACGAGCGGAATGCTCGCTGCGGTAGAGGCGGACCGCATGTAGGCGCTCCCCCCTTGCGCGTATAGACCCGTTCCATCCTCTACTTGCCAAGTGCCTATGCTTGCTTTGTTTGTATCGGTTGCCTGAGCTACTACTGCTTGTTGTTTCCCCTTGCCATCCCTAACGCGCGGCCGAAGGCCGCCGGCGCGAAGCCCCGAAATTTCCAGCACTAACTGAAAGAATGAGAGATGGAGAGGCCGCCGTGGCCTTAAGTAGTCATGGCAGAGGGCAGAGAGCAGAGGGCAGAGGGTAGAAGGGGAGAGGCTAATCCTCTCTCTCTCTCGCTCTCTCGAACAACACCGAAATTTCCAGCACTAACTGAAAGAATGAGAGATGGAGAGGCCGCCGTGGCCTTAAGTAGTCATGGCAAGGGCAGAGAGCAGAGGGCAGAGGGTAGAAGGGGAGAGGCTAATCCTCTCTCTCTCTCTCTCTCTCTCTCTCTCTCTCTCTCTCTCTCTCTCTCTCTCTCTCTCTCTCTCTCTCTCTCTCTCTCTCTCGAATGGTCCTTGCATTTCTTTGAGGGGTGGTACAACGGAAGATGCAAACACACAGGCACAACAAACATCCAAACCGGCATCCAAACTATCTCAAGTCCCCTACCTACTCCGCCCCCCCCCTCTCCGACCCTACTGGTCGAACGGGGCCTCAATCAACTGGTGCAGCTGTCCCTCACTGAGAGGGATGATGGGTCCTCTAAAGCCGAGCTCGTCCGCCGCCAGGGCCTCGTTGGTCTTGGTGCGGAGGGCGTTGGCCTGCGCCCGCTGGAGGCACACGCTCCAGCGCTGGCGGTACTCCGTCAGCAGCTTCGCTGCTTCGTAGGAGGTAGGAGCCGCGTTAAACCGCAGCTTTGCCGCCAGCTCTGCGCACTGCCGCAGGTAAGCCATCACCCCCGGCGAGGGGTAGCCATAATTTTCCACTGCAAGCGCGTGGAACCCCACCCACGCGTTCCGCCGTGCGTACTTATCCTCCTTTTTCTCTGCTGCTGCCCTGGCCGCCCATCCAGGAGCTCGGTTGCAGTTCTCGTCCTGCCTTGACACCGGGTCCGTCACGGTCACGTCTCTCTCTCTCTCTCTCTCTCTCTCTCTCTCTCTCTCTCTCTCTCTCTCTCTCTCTCTCTCTCTCTCTCTCTCTCTCTCTCTCTCTCTCTCTCTCTCTCTCTCTCTCTCTCTCGAATGGTCCTTGTATTAGTTGAAGGGTGGTTTCTGTCTCCCGCCTCAACGCCACTCTGCCTCCCATCTTCACCAGCAGCATGTAGTTTCTGTCTTTCCACTACCCCCCCCCACCTTCTTCCATGTTTCTACCCTCTCCCCGCTCACTCCTCATTCCCCTCTCCTCTCACAGGGACGTCCCGTACAACAAGTTCAACGGCTCTCTCCCTCCCATCTTCACCCGCAAATCCTCTGAAGCTCTCCGCTTTTCCCACCCTCTCCCTCTCTCCCATTGCAGGCACCTCTCTTATTACAGGCTCAACAGCTCTCTCGCTCCCATCTTCACCAGCAGCAGCTCGTCTTGATCTCTTTGCTCGACTCTGAAGCTGCTCTTTGCCCTTGCGTATCTCCCCTTTCTCCCCACCCTCTCCGCTCTCTTCCCTCGCAGGGACCTCTCGTACAACAAGCTCAACGGCACTCTGCCTCCCATCTTCACCAGCAGCATGCAGTTTCTGGGATTCCTGTATGAGCCTTCCTCTTTATTAAGTTGACTCAAAGACCTTTCTAGGCTGCCTTTCCGGAGTTGTGGCTGCTGTCGTGGGCAAGGGTGGGGTATGGGCAAGGGTAGCGCATGGGCAAGGGTAGCGCATGGGCAAGGGTAGCGCATGGGCAAGGGTAGCGCATGGGCAAGGGTAGCGTATGGGCAAGGGTAGTGTATGGGCAAGGGTAGCGCATGGGCAAGGGTAGCGCATGGGCAAGGGTAGCGTATGGGCAAGGGTAGCGCATGGGCAAGGGTAGCGTATGGGCAAGGGTAGCGTATGGGCAAGGGTAGCGCATGGGCAAGGGTAGCGCATGGGCAAGGGTAGCGTATGGGCAAGGGTAGCGCATGGGCAAGGGTAGCATATGGGCAAGGGTAGCGCATGGGCAAGGGTAGCGCATGGGCAAGGGTAGCGTATGGGCAAGGGTAGCGCATGGGCAAGGGTAGCGCATGGGCAAGGGTAGCGCATGGGCAAGGGTAGCGTATGGGCAAGGGTAGCGCATGGGCAAGGGTAGCACATGGGCAAGGGTAGCGCATGGGCAAGGGTAGCGCATGGGCAAGGGTAGCGCATGGGCAAGGGTAGTGCATGGGCAAGGGTAGCGCATGGGCAAGGGTAGCGTATGGGCAAGGGTAGCGTATGGGCAAGGGTGGCGCATGGGCAAGGGTAGCGCATGGGCAAGGGTAGCGCATGGGCAAGGGTAGCGTATGGGCAAGGGTAGCGCATGGGCAAGGGTAGCGCATGGGCAAGGGTAGCGTATGGGCAAGGGTAGCGCATGGGCAAGGGTAGCGCATGGGCAAGGGTAGCGCATGGGCAAGGGTAGCGCATGGGCAAGGGTAGCGTATGGGCAAGGGTAGCGCATGGGCAAGGGTAGCGTATGGGCCTGGGCTGGCACTTGATCGGTCATATGTATGACCGGAGTCCATGGGCCTGGGCTGGGCACTTTGTTGAATTTTGAGACATCTCAAAAGTCGGCAAGGGTAGCGTATGGGCATGGGCCGCCTAAGCTGGGCTGGGCACTTGGCCGGTCATTGGGATATTCTTCGATTCTTACTTTATCTCATTGGGATGTTTCTTAAGAATCCGGAAAAAAACTGCCCGTCCAGTTTGGCCCCTTCACTATGACTGCCTGCTGCTCTCTCAAGCCACCTTTATTAGAATGGCACATGGCACATTTCCCTCCCTCTCCCTCCCCTTACTCCTCCTGTAGTGAGGTGCATTTTGAGGCGCCTCAAAATGCTCTCTCAAGCCACCTTTACTAGAATGGCATATGACACATGTCCCTTCCTCTCCCTCCCCTTACTCCCCACTCCCCCTATCCAGGCATCTATCCCACAACTCCTTCCTAGGACCGCTTCCTTCCAATCTGGCCACTCTCACCCCTTCCCCTCCCCCTCCCCCTTCCCTTCCACCTCCACCTCCCCCCACCCCCCCCCCTCCCGCTATCCAGGCATCTATCCCACAATTCCTTCCTAGGACCGCTTCCCTCCAATCTGGCCACCTGCCAATCGCTTTACGAACTGTAAGCATGTGAACCAAGACGACTTCTGTGGCACCTCAGAATCCATCCCCCCACTTCACCAAGCATCTTTGTCACAACTCCTTACGCCCGCTGCCCTCCAACCTGCTCACCTGCCAGCCAGTCGCTCTACAAACTGTAAGTAAGCTTTCAAGACACCAAAAAGGTCGTAACCAATTTGTAACCTTGATATGTAACGAACTCTTATCGAGTGATTTACCTGGTTGCTTTCCTTTCATTTTCTGAAGAGTCTTCTCTGTCCCTCACTCATCTTCCCCCCTTTTCATT